GATTTCTTAAACTGTTCCGCGTCAAACGAACTTTCATACTACTATCTAAGCTAGATACTCGTTTCGATATATTTGAATCGTGGTCTACATCTATGTCGTCGCGATCTGAATCATCACTCATAATTTTACGAGCTGCTATCTGATTAGTACTTGTACCAGCAGTCAATGTCGCGTTTGTGCGCGTACGTTCTTTTAAAGTTTCTTCTCTGGTGGAGTTGCGGCTGAAGGAAATTTCTTTTTCTGGCGTTTTAGCTACTGCACTTCTTCGAGAAATTGATTTTGACGTATTCATGGGATCGCTGTCTTCCGATTTATTACTTTTATGTTTCGAAGATACATGAAATCTCTTAGATACATGTTCGTCGTCGCTTGATGTTGTCCCGAGAACTATATCGTTGGAGCTTGTTGAACTTGTAATTCTATTCCTTTTAGATTTCGAACTCTCCTCTGTTGCTAAAGATTGACGCGCCTGGCTAACCCTTGTTACTTCACCTCGCTCCAAAGAAGCAAGATTGTTTTCAGTTGAAACATTACTTCCTCTTACATTGATACTACCGTCTTTCTCCAATATTTCTGCGAACGGGTTCTCAGTTGAACTCTGACGTAAACTTTCTATTATTCTTGATTTTGGCTTTAAAAATGCAGACTTCTTCCTGCGGAATTCATCATTATCTGACATCAATGTACTGCTTGATGTTGCTTCAGTTATATCTTTGGCTTGGGTTGGTACGTCTAATGATTGCTTCTTAGTCGTACTTCGAGACACTCTTGGACTTTTACGAATCGGTGAATTTTCGTGCGCTGCGTCGATCTTAGTCTTAGATCTGCTGACAGCTCTTCTTGACAAAAACGAAGCTTGTTGCATTAATGGAGACTTTTGCACATCGTTTTCCCTATTCGGATCAAAGGTAGATAAATTTGCGTCGTCAACTAAAGCATCTGCAAAGGCATTTCTTCCTATGCTCTTCCGCGCGCGCTGCATAAAACGGGATTTAAGTTTCTCATATTTGCTATGTACAATTTTTACGCTTTCACCGCTGCTCTGATCAATCTCTTCAGCGTTACTTTCAAGCGCCGCGTTCTCGACGTTCGAAATTAATAAATTCGAGGAATCACCCTTCTCTGGCGTTGCTTGAAGCGTTCTCACCAATTTACTTCGATCGTCAGTCAGATCTTTACTTGCATTAATATTTCGGTGTATCGAATGCCTCGACGATTCCTTCTCGAGCGCGACCGATTTCCTTGTGGCGCTGTGACTCAAAGCACTATCTTGAGTCAGTACATCCTGAAAGGGATTCTGATCTTTTGTACTGTCACCTCTCCTCCTGCGATAAATACTTGGCTTTGATTTTAAAACGTGCCCAGTCAAACTCAAATTATTGTCCTCTTCGTCCTCCTGCAATTTCTCTTGCAAGACTTCTCTGCCGCTGTGGGAGTCAGAATGGTTCGCTCGTTTCTTCCGTGAATTTGAAATTGTTACGTCGGTATCGTTCAAAGCTGTCGAAAAGGCATTGCCAGTACTCTTCCTACTATTCATTTTCAGTTGAACCTTACGCTTTTTTATGGAGACCTCTTTTTCCGACTCGGACGTCGAAGTTTGCAATACATTGGTTTTAACTATCACTAAAAACATAACACGTATTACGATACTTGTAAAGTACTATCGCCAAAAGATAACGTATTATGATATTTAGGGCCAATTTCACAAACGTTGGTTAACGGTTAGCCTAATATTACATTTGTTGTATGACAAATTTTTCAAGCGTGTCGACTGGCTGCAGAATAGAAAACTTCTGAAGACTCGACAACTTTTCTATTGCAACAAATGCAATACCGGCCTTAACCAGAGTTCAGTCGACTTCCTATCTTTTTCTATCTTGTTATCTAAGAAGAGGGAGACTCGATTAACCTTCGATTAGCAGTTAACCAACGTTTGTGAAACTGGCCCTCATAACGCAAAGTTAAATGTTCCGTCGACTTGTACCTGCACTGAGATTGCGTTTCAATCTCGGGCTCGGTGAAGCAGTTTGCTCGCTCTCAGGGGACAAGTTCTTCCACCATTCCGGCGAACTCTTATCAGAAACCAGCCTCGAGCCGGCGCTCAGCTGCCTGTCCGTCTCGTTTACGCCGAAAATCATGGAATGCCGTGGCGTGTTTTCCTGCAAGTCGTCCCACCAAAAGTTTCGTTCTGCAGAAACAAAGAATACAGTGAATTCTTATCGAGGTTTACTTCGCTCGTGACAGTTAATATCACCGGGCGCAATGACGCAGGACGGATATTCCTACCTTCACCGACGATGTTTGTGTCAGGGTCGAGAAATCCGGAACCGGTGAAGCTTCTTCGGCTGGAGCCCCGCTTTCGAATCAAACTCTTTCTCTTGGCCATGTTTGTGGAGAAGCGTGTCTTAAACGAACAAAAACTTACTTGTCTTACTGTATCTGTAACTCAAAGCCACTCAAGAATGCTCGAGATTATATAGAGCCTCTCGCTCGCACCATTTTACATGGTAAAAAACCGCGCAAATTTGACCCACAACGATACGAGCGCGATTACGAATAACATGTGACGTGATCGTGCTTGGGCATGAACGTAGGAAATACCCGTTATGGGTAACCCGTATTCCTACGTCCATGGATTGGCGTAGAGACCCTCTAATCAGGGTCTGGACATGCGGTATCCAGCTCTGATTGGTTCGCCATGTTTCTGATTTTCCCACTGAAGTTTGAATTGACAATTTTAATCCAGTTTTATAGTTTGACAAACTACAGGTTATCGTAATTGATTTTGATTATTTCGATGCGTATCCCTTTCTCGAGGTGTTATTGCAAAGTGGGGCTGCACATCCACCCATTTTTGCAATAAACAACAAACTCACACTATTATCAAACTTCGTGCGATGTGCAGTTATATTTTATAAATTAAACATATTTTGCATTAAAAAATTTATAAGGAGATACATGTATACCAATAATTATGATAGTAGAATTATCGTAGTAGAAAGAAAAAAAATAAAAAGTTAAATTTATTGCTTATTTCGCATTGACCTAAGTTATAATAAAATGATCGAATTAAAAATATATTTTTCATATTTTTATTCATACATATGTATATGTAATAGTATACATATACATATTTTTTTTAAATATTACATAAACATATATTGTGCCAACATTTCTGTGGTTCTTACAGTGTATTCATAACATGTTCTGTATTCTTGTAAAGATTTATAGATAAAAATTATATATTGAAAATGATAAATAATATGACAAATAATAAGAAAGCGAAAATTACTTTATAATTATTCAAAGAGAAATACAGCGATTATGACGATTAAAAATAAAATACAAGATTTATAACACAATGAAACTCGATATTTTAAATCTCAAAGTTAAATTTTAAGGACATATGGGACTGTTAAATCAATGCTTAAATACAGTTACAGCGTAATTATACATGAAAAATTTCACAAAAGAAATGTATAATGCGTTATTATGTACAACATTCTCTAACACAACATTTACAACACAATTATGTTATCTTGCAATTAATTCGCTACATGTACTGTACAGGGATATAACATTTAATTAATTACACAGCGCGTATATACAAGGTCTAAGTCTTTTGTTTTTTATTACTCGGCCCGCTGTCTTGATCGTCGTTTTGAAAAATCGTTTTCGGCTGCGTCTTCTTGTACGCGGGTGCGATCCAGTACGGTTCTTCCTCAGCAATCTTGGCGTATTTCAAAATCGCCTCCCTGGGATCCTGGTCGTCCTCTATCCGTTTGCTCAGCCCGAGATTGCGTATGACGTAAGAGCTGAGCGTCCCTCCGGAGGACGCCACTCTGCCACCCTGGCCGGAAGTAATAGGCAGATCCGGACGTCTCGACTTGACTGGATCGAGCCTGTCCTTCTCCATCTGCTTTCGTACTGATTTGGGCCGATCCTGGCGGAACAAGGGAAGCGCGTGAGGCGTTATAATCTGCTGGGTCGACATTATCTCGATATGCTTCTGTTTTATGTGCGTCTTGACGACGCACAGCTTGGCGCCCCTCATGCTCTTCTTCGGATCGTAATACACCTTGACGATGCCGTTGCCGCAGCCTACGAACACCTGATTCAATTTCGGATGCCACAGGGTCTTTATCACATGCGAGTTCGTCACGGGGATCTCTCTGACCAAGTCGAACGTCTTGCTATCGTAGAACAGTACTCTGCCAGTCGTCTTCCCCTTGTTCAGGGATTCCCCCGTGACGATCATCGAGTCGTCCGGACTGAACATGCAATCCGTGGTGTCGTAACGCGAGAACAGTCCTTCAGCGACGAAGATCGGTGTTTTGAATGTCCGCAAGTCCCACAGTTTCAGGGTGTCGTCGCAGCTCCTGCTCGCCAGCATCTGACCGAGATACGAGAAGCTCAGGCTGGACACTTCGCTGGATTGTGCGTGCGCGCCTCGCAGCACGAGGGACGGATTCACAAAGTTCTTCCTGTGGTCCCACATCTGAATCGAGCCGTCCGTACATCCGCACGCGACAGCCGCGCCTTCCCGGCTGTACGCGCACGTGGTGGGAATGGTCTTCACGCCGTTCTGCGCTCGGCACTTGATCAGGCTCTTGTGCGCGCGCGGTCTGTACATATTCCATATCCGGCAGGTACTGTCCTGAGAGCAGGTGAGATATTCCTCCTTGGCGAACGGATGCCAGCAGCCGCTGTTGAGACTGGCGGTGTGACCCTTGGTGCGTGCCATGTCCGTGATGTACTGGTCGCCCTTGACGGTCTCGCACTTCTCGAAGCCGTCCCGGTCCAGGACCTTTGCCTGCGCGGCGCCCGAGATCACCAGTATCACGTCCCCGGTTGTGGAATACTGCAGGCACTTGATGGGATGATTCTCGCAGGGCTGCAGGGTCCTGAAGCTCTTCATGGACGTGTCCATACCGGCGAAGTCCCAGAAGCAGACGTCGTAATCGATGGAGCCGGACGCCAGTCGAGCTCCGGATGGATCCGCAGCGATGGCGATCACCGCCTTGGTGCCGTGAGTCATTGAGACCTCGTGGGAACAAGGGATCTTGTCCCTCAATGTCACTTCCTCTTCCTCTTCCGAGTCTGACGATCCTTTATCGTCGTCGTCGTCGTCATCGTCGCTCTCGTTTTTCTCGGCCTTCTTCCTCTGTGTACTTGAGCCTGCGGTTGCTTCTGAAGCAACGGGCAACGAAGACGGTATCGGTGGACCAATAAAATCATCATCGTCGTCGTCGTCATCGTTGTCGTCGTCGTCGTCGTCGTCGTCGTCGCTCACCTTGTCCCCTTTGGATTCCGCGACTTCGTTGGGCCTTTCTCTCTCGACTGCAGTTGCTTTGTTGCTGCTGATGGTCTTGGTGATGTTTTCCATCATCTCCTGCACATCGAAAGACTTGGCTTTCTTACCGAAGCCCGTGATGCCCATCAACTTCTGCATACTTTGGGTCTCCTCCTCGTCCTCCGGTCTGATCTCGTCCATCGTCCGCACATTGTTCTCCTCGCGTTTCCTACCGAAAGTGCCGAATCCGGAGCCGGTGGTTTTGACGGCTGCCTCGGCCGCCGGTTTACTCAAACTGGCGCTTATCTTGCCGAAGGTTATGGTCTTCCTCGAATTCATATTTTCAGACGGCAACGGCATTAAATTCACATGTGGTGCCCGCTGGTGTAATATAACAACACAATGTACCGTGTAATGAAACGAATAATTCGTACCCCGTACGATAATCTCACATTTGTGACTTACAGGTTTGTCACGGTTCGTCGTGGAGACTTCAGAGGCGAGTAACAGGAGAGGGAGAGAAGCCCGAACTTAGGAATCTTGTCCGCCGCTTGGTGCGGGAGTGCGGGAGTAGAACTGTATAGTGTAAAACGAACCTAACCTCAAAAAACATTAACGTGCCGCGGTTATTTCGCAGGAATGTTTCTCCGCGTCTTTTCAAGTAACGCTTAACGAAACTGCCTCCGCGAGTGGAATGAAGAACCGCAAGGTGACGTGGGCCAACCTGGAGCTCGCCGGTCTCCTCGAGGACGAGGAGTCTCACGTGCACTTCACGAGGACCACCAAGCACCTCTCGCTACATCCGTACTACTTGAATAACGTTCAGGGCGGTCTGAATGAGATATTAAGATCGTCGTTGAATACTTACGACAAAGAGTACGCTGTCTTCTATATATTTCTTTTACACGTAGTACAAATATCCGTCTCCGATCCTCGATTACTTCAGTTTCGTTAAATGCTTATAAAAAAAGTGAAATAGAGATTAAACAATTATTATTAAAATATAAATGTCCCGTCATTGCTGTCTTATTGTTATAATTTGTTACCTGTGCCTAAGTAGTGCCGCGAATTGACAAACTACATGATAAGGTGCGCAATGCATTAGATTAGTTCAATGAATAATTTATACAGTAAACACCGAGCATCAGTTGCATTGCATTTATGTCATAGTTTCTCACTCAACAATGTAAATGTAATATAATACATACGTTGTTACATTTACATTGTTGAGTGAGAAATTGTAACATAAATGCAATGTAACCGAGGCTCCGTCTTTACTGAGTTAGATATACAGTATTGTAAGAAACATGTAATGGAATTTAACAAAACAATTCTTTATTTTAGGTTGAAAGGGTTTATACTAGCATTTAGGAATCTTAAATTGCTTAACAATCTGGGAGAGACGCTCTACGACTCTCCGTACATTCATATTGACGTTGAAGCAGATTTTTATCTGTTTTGTCCAACAAACGGGACTTTCCTGAAAGGTATATTTTTGTTGTGTTACATGTCCTACAAACTGATTGTAATAATTTCTGTTACGTTGCAGGCATAGTGACAAAGAAGGGCCTGGACCATATCGTGGTACTGGTGCACAAAATATATACTGTGTCTATTCCGAAACCAGACGACACGGAGGAATGGGCAGGAGACTTGGTAGAGATTGGCCAGGAAGTGAGATGTTGCGTAAATGAAGTAGACAACAGGAGTAAACCTCCTTTTATCCGCGCCACTTTGAGGTTCGATTACTCGCAAGGTTGTCGAGCGCCGGAAAGTATAAATAATATTGACAATGTGGACAGTGCAATTAACTCTGTGAAGATTGAAGTTTCTACTGGTGGAGTCTCAGAAGACAATGACGTTTCTGAAAAAGAGAGGAAAAAGCACCAAAAGAAACGCAAGAAGTCTCGCGAAAGTAATTCCGACTTTGTCGTTAAAGTTGAAAACGAATTAGAGTCAAACGACAACTTAGAGAGCGATATTTCCAGAATTGTCAAGTCTGAAAAGAAACGTCAAAGTATGCAAGATACTGTGTTGAAAACTGACGATTCTATAAATAATCTGGAAGTCGATAATATCCCTAAAAAACATAAGAAGCGTAAGAGATCACTGCTCGAGGAGGATACAATTTCGGCTAATGGAGTATCCGAAGACACTGATGCTTCTGAGAAAGAGAGGAAACAGCATCGAATAAAACACAAG